TGAAAAGGAGCACTTGACTGTTTGGTGGATAAAACCACCCGATTCTGCTTTTTTTCTGAGTGGACTTTGTTGTTTGAGATGCGTTACCTGACAAGCCTCATCTATCACAGTTTCTTATCGTGCAAGGCTGTCAACAGGCTTCTTTAATACATGATGAGACAGCCCTTTCTATCCAGGTGCTATCATTGTCTGGAAAAGCCTCTCGCAGAACAAAACAGAGCTTTTAATAGGACTCTTTGGTCTTATAATGAAAAGGCAGAAACACCAAATGGCAACAACACTTTATGAGATTGTTGTGATGGAGCGACGTTGTTAACATTGCAGTCACTCTTGAAACTTAATTTGTTCAGACTTCCTACAGACACCCTGACAGCCGAACTGAAAGAGATGTTTAAAGCCGCTGCACTAGGTAAGCTTCAAATGTAAAGCTTCGCCTATCTGAAGGTTGAGAGTGAAGAGGGGAACAAAATCAATTGAAATGTTGGCATGGAACGGATATCATTATTAACAGGATTTGATGAGTCAAACTTGACAGAAAACTGCCAAGCAATCCTTCACAGAGCAGTGCATGAGCTGTCAGGTGAAAGCAATATTACATTTCAAACCACCCACTCAAACCCTAAAGCGTTATACAATAAAAAAGCACAGACTGAGTTTCTTCGTGGAGCCTGAACAGGATGTGTTAATAACTAATACAGATATTACGTATAGCCAATTACACCACATCTAATAAAAAAGGAAATCTAATTGGGATTGAGGTCAAGGCTTCTGTGTGACTATGAGGATGTATGCAATTATACGTAACTTTATGTGAAGTCGTTGAAACTTGAGAGTTCAAATGGAAGTTATAACACAGGGGGAATCAATGCACCAGGTACGTGTGCCAATAACTTAGCATTTTAACACATTTTATAAAGTTTGTGAATGGTTTGACTCTGTACAAACACGATATCTGAACATGCAAATATAGTCAAGTCAGTCAAAGTCAATCTTTCAGTTTGTGTGTACAGACAGAGAGATCGAAATGACGTTTCCAACAATCCCGAATACAAAAATACAATTATACAATATACAGATATGTATACAGATATCTATATCCTACATACACAATCAACAGACACATTTTCACATATGCACACATTAAGATAAAAAACACAACAATCAATATATACAAAATAACAGTCACTTCAATATCAATATCTTTGGTGCAAGATTGTCCATAGAATCTGCATTTATTGCCATATATATATATATATATATAGTGCCATATTTAACACTAGAACCGCCAACGGGTAAATTTTACCCGCAGCGGTTTTTTTATTGTACGTAACTTTTTTTCCATAACATATTAAAGTCTCCCAGTCCGTGACTTTTCCTGAAAGTGTGTTATGTAGCACCCTCTGTTGTTAAAAATTGTCAATAGGAAGTCAGATTGAAAAAATCGCCAAATAAATTGCCATTTATACCCATATCTGCCAGCGGGTAATATTTACCTCATAGAAAATGCAGCGTAAACATGACGTGTTGCTATAGCAACGCCTTTTGTCTACTGCGGTTCCTTATAGATAGAGAGAGATAGATAGATAGATATATTGATAGATAGATAGAGAAAGAGAAACCGAAGATTAATCACAAACTGGGACTTACATTTGTCACACGTACATAAAAAATCACTCCTAGTTATTAGCAAATTGGACTGTAAAATTAATGACATTCGTGTAGTGTAGACCCTGTACATAAGTTTATATATTAACCGAAATTTTTGTTCAGTCATCTCCAGTAGTCCCAAACAACTTACATAAGACTTATTTACACCTTTCGTAGTCCGTGTCTACATATGCGAAATTAAGTCCCCAGCCGTTGGAAAAACTATACTTCACCGGTAAATTTTTTTTCTAACAATAGTCGCACGCTGCTAACTCTTAATAGTTGCCCCCCCCCTCGGAGCGACAACCCCGTGCCCCCTCGGTCACACACCTGGACCAGTTGCTTTGAATGTGTAAATGGTGTAAATTTATTAACGAAATTTGCCGTATTATTATTCCTGTTGCCAGGCAAGACGACTAAGAGGTCTTGTGTGATACAATACTATAATCCCAGTACGTCTCTACTCTACTCTAGTCGACAGGGAATCTCTCTCTCTCCTAAAATCTCCTCTCCCACACCCGAACACGTACACAACACACACTAACCGTCCGCTGTCACTCCCTTGCACACATACAAAAGACCTTAACTTTTGCTCCTTCGTCTTTTTGTCTCCCAGACACTACATAAAAACACTTTGTCTTCTTGTCGAATTTATTTACGTTGCCGGAGGGTTCTGTCTCAGCGGAGAGAGGTAAGTAATTCGATTTCACCTTCCACACCAATAACTTTGGACTTCGAACAACGAAGACGGGAGGAGCTGATGAGACCCTCGGCTGTCTTTCAAGTTGTGTGTCTACCGGTCAGGCGGGGTTTAAACATCGTATATAAAGCTACTCGTCTAGCGGTGACCCGAAAGTTGATTTCTCGTCGGTGCGTTTTTGACGCCCGTAAACATGGTCGAGGAATACCCAAATGACGTTAATCCACTTCACGAAGGAGACACACTTTGCTAGTCGAGACGTGTGCCTCCTTTCGCCGTCTTTCAAGTGGACCTCAATTTCTCACACCCCGGACGCACGCACGTAACCGAAGTGAAGACGTCCATCTGAGCGAGACCGCCGCCCAAGAGCAGTCCTAGGTTATTATGTTAAATTTATTAATAACGTGTGAATAAGGTGAATAAAGGATCACACGGTGACCAATGGCCACGGCGCCGGTTACGACCGTGCGCCGGTCCCCAACGGCTGGGGAACCGAAATTAACTATTTTTTGGAAAGTCTCCGTTCACACGGAAGTGATTGTGTTTGAGATTGTCATGTTCAAGAGTTCCTGGAAATTCTAGGAAGGTACTTACTTACTGGTATGTTTTACTTGTCCTGTAATCGTCGTTTCGTCCTTGAGACTGTCTCGATTCCGGTATCACATTACGTTAACCATCTGTTCTCGAGAGGGAGGAAACTTTGGTGACGTCCGACGAAGAGTGTGCGGTCCCGTACTGAAGTGAAGTGCTCTTTACTAATCAGAAGTTCGGGTTCCCTGTGTGTAGAAATAGCAGGTGATTTTAGACTTCTTTATGGTCTCAGGTCTCATTAAAATATTCGCGACAACAAATCGGTACGAGAAGGTTCGACTTATGGTACGTGATGGTTTTGTCTGGTTACAAAGTTGTTCGGAGGGTACCTAACTTCGGGGAAGTTGTGTCGTAAAAGTGTATAATGTCATTACGGACTCGACCGAGAACACATCGCATTAACCACTAACGGACTACACACAGTGGGTCATCAGTACCCTTGTGTTATAATGGGAATCGCAACTGGTTAATGTTTTGTCGGCCGCTCTATTGGTTAGTCTCCGTCTGACCCGAGAGCCAAAGTCTGTCTCCCACTTTTCTCCCACGGTGTCGTGTCCGGTCATACTCTTCTCGAAAAACTTGTAATTATCGTACCTCTGTACAGTGTCTTCTCGTCTTTGTATGTTTTAATTGGTTTTATTACGTGTTTATTCCTGTGGAAATTATCAACCAGGTAAGTATAACTAATAATTCGTGACCTATAACCGATCTAAATTACGATCCGTTGTAAAGTAATACCAAACCTGCGTATGTCATACAGAGCGTTTACAGTTGAACTACGTAGTCAAATGTAATTGTGATCTTGGCGGTCCTCAGCGGCCAGATATGGATTTGGCGGTGTGCCCATTTTACATGGGCGATAGTCAAAAGTTCTGCCAGTTACAATAAATAAATAGTATGCTTTGTCACTCAAAACTAGCGTGTTCCCTACTGTAATATGGTTATATTAGACACCTGAAGAGTGAAAGTCTACTGTATCCAAACAACGTCTATTGTACTTCATATTTTATAACGATGTTCACGACTAAATTTGCCGAAACACAATCTAAACACAAAACAAATCCATGTTTAAAGGAGTAGAGAGGCAAATAGATAGATAGCTAGGTAGACATTACAGACAAGATACCCTGTATATTTAACAGATGTGGTTTGTTCTGCTGCGCCCTGATGAAGAGAGTAAAGCTCACGGTAGAAAAGTTGACCGTGCATTGGTAAGTGTGTACGTAATGCAGGAGTTGCAACTCGAGTCAGTAGGTTCTAGAACATAAGAGGTTCTACAATGGTGATAGATATTGATATA